TCTTGGGATGTACAGTAGTACAGGACAAAGAAAAAGCGCAGATGATTTTAGGACACCAAGCAGAAGAGGTTTTATGGTAAGAGAGACTACCTTGCTTGTATTTGTCACACCTTGTAAATCAAAACATTCCAATGCATGACCATATTTCTCTTTCCACAGCAATGCAAGGTACAGTGGCAAAGGGCACGTAGATATTACATAGCCTCATTTGATTTCCACCTTGCCTCCATGATATCCATCTCAAAGACTAATCTTCCCTGAGTGAAGGACCATCCATTCATTCCTAGGGCAATGGATTGCTTTCATGCTAGTCAGTGATGAAAGGTGTTGCAAATGAATGCATGATGAACAATGCCCACGGTGCTCTAAACTGAGAACAAGAAAATTTCAGCTTCTGGCATATGAGACACACAGGGCCAAGTGCAACACCTGGGCAACCCCAGCTCACCCTTTTTCAACAAATCCTTTTCTGTGCAGCTCAGGACTTCTGTGGCCTTGGACTGAGCAGGATGGGAGTGCCCCATACCTGCCCAAAAGACAAGCGTTTAGCCTTTTAGTAAAAAATGCTCTTTTTGCTAAATTTCAAAACTCTGGACCCTTTTATACCCTCCTCTCAGGCTTACACATTGCTTACATTTAGCATTTAGACACACACAGCAATTTCTTCCTTTGATCCTTTAGAGGGAGAGGCAGACTGCTCAGCATCTCTCTCCTCTCTCTCTCTTGACTCAGGCCAGCTCTGAGAGTGACATATGAAGGACACAGAGGTATGGGTTTCATTTTCCCATTTTCAACTTCGCACGTTGCTAGACTGAGCATTCTGAAAGACTGCAAGCTGCTATAAGGAAACTTTCACCCTGGAACAAGGAAGATCTATTTTTCAATTAATTGGTTAACATTATAGAAATTAAGATCTTGCACAGTGGGCCCCCAAACAGCATCTCCAAAAAAAAACCCCAAAAAACAAAACAAAAAAAACCCACCCAAAAAGCTGGATCAGACTTTGGGGTTTTGGATTTTACTCCTATGTAATAAAACAGTGCTGGTATTTTTATTGGTGTTTTTTTAAAACTGCAACAAGATACAGCTCTGAATCTATTCTTGCTAAACAAAGGAAAACTGTATTCGTTTTTGTCAGACCAGCACTTTGAAATTCCCCAAGATAAGCCACATAAATAAGTGAAGAATTATACTTGGCAGTGAGTTTGGCATCAGACTTTAAGTGCTTCATAGTTCTGGGCTGAGAAAATAAGTTGAGCAAAGTCTCTAGAACCTTTCCAGAGATGTACTTGGGGTGTTTGGATATACTTGACAGCACCATCTTCACAGGAAGAAAAAAGACGAAATTGTTTATTCAAAATGTGAGAAAGGGTTTCACCGTGTGACATGCCTGACATTTAAGTGATAATAGTGTTGTGCATCTGCTCTTTTGGCTTTGGTCTGACACCTAGGCTCTGCCACGGTGCAACTTAGCACTGTCATGGCACAGCCTTGATGACTAAACCCAGAGATGTGACTTACCACCCATTTCAGGAACATATGGGCCACAGATCACTCAGCCTCTGCCGCAGGCTCGGAAATGCACAGCGTCTCAGGCAAAGACCCTGTGAGTTCCCCAGCTGCACAAGGTGGCTGTGCAGGCTGCACCATCCTTAGGGATGCCATTTGCATTACAGAAAATTGTGGCTAATTAGAAATAAACAGAAAAATGCTTGATTTACAAAGAACTGTGTGATTTTGCCAGCTATTTTTTTTTTCCACTCTAACTTAACATTCACAGAATACACTGATCATGCTAATGCTTTCGCTATATTCATTAATAAGGACAATTTACATTTATATAGCACCTCTCTTAGTTAAGAATTCCAAAGCTTTCAGCAAAATATACACAAAAAATTACTTCTATTTCACTGAATATAGTCATCGTTGGAATGAAAATCAACAATTGTGAAGCAGTGCAGAAGAACGTTACACAACAGTTGTAAATAAGACACAAAGCAAAGCCCCCAAAAACCCAAAGCAAAAAGCCCCTGAGATGCCAGATGCAAGTGGAGGTAAATGGGATGTCAGTGCATGAACAGCAATGTGAAGCAGGTCTGTGTGTGCCCTGAGGAGCAGTTTTGGAGGCAGCAAACATACTTCATAATGATTAAAGCAACAGAGCCCATACATGTGCAGCCTGTTGCTTTCCTGCACGCTGAGGGACATTCTCAGCTTAAACTGTGAATCTATGGCGAAGAACGAACCAGGAATAGGCGATGGATTCTGGTGATGAGAGAAGGGAAAGTAAGTGTATGCAAAATGTGAACAGCTCTTTTCTGACCACTAAGCTTCATACTTTACAAATGGCCTCCTGTTTTTAAAAGACATTATTAATTAGGCTAATACATTATTCTGCAAAAACAACATAAAATAAAAATTAACTTGTTTCAAATGATGAGTTTTAATTCTCAGTCATAATAATACATAACTGGAGTTATCAGACTGAAATGCAGTAATCTCTTCTCTCTGTGTTCAAATCCCCCTTCTATTCCTAACCCCATTTACTTTAGTCATTGATCAAGTTTCCATGCACTATGTTACAACTCAAGAGTCATGTGTGGGAGAAAAAAACATCCATCTAAAGTAAAATTAATAGCAAAACTTTGAGAGAAAGCATGCATGTGCTAGCAAGAGCAAAATATAAGTGTTTACATGACCAATGTGTTGATAAATGTTCAGCCCCACAAACGCAAATTAACTGTGGCTTGGTGTACAAGCATCCATTATATAACCCTTTCCCATCATTTTGAGGCAGATAAGGTAGTTTACATACTTGACCCTTGGAAGCAGATTGTTTTCTTAATTAGTGCATTATCCAGGGATTTTTCTTTCCACATCGCTTTCTCCTTTCAATCCTCTCCCTCTAGCACAGAAAGATTTCCTTGCCTGAAGTTGCCACTTTATTCAACAACTGTTGGCTGAGACCTCACGACCCACTGCATAAATTCGCATAGAATTATTCATGTTTGGCACATTTCTGCTGGTGAATAACAACACCATTTTGTCTCTCAGACAAAGAAAAGAAAGACTTGAAAAAAGAACAAAGGCAGCCTAATAAGAATCTCACATTTCCTATTTTTTTCTTAATCTGGTTAAACAGCCTCTACAAGCCTGAGAAATTCAACAAAGCAAAGTTGCGGACTGTTGGTCTCTCAGTACAGACAGAACAGCCTCACAGTGTGACTTCTGATCATGGGCTCAGCTATGAGGTAACTTGTCCTATCTGCTCAATGTTTTTGTTTTAGTTTTTCCAGCTGAGTTTTCCTGTTATCATGCAGCTACAGCTAAATAGCTAAATCCACACTGAAATTCAGGATATCCCAATACCAAATCCAAATTTGGTTGGGATTTCAATCTTAGCAGGTCAAGAGTTCATTCAGTGTAGTCAAAACCACAGTACAATCAATCCACTAGAGGAAGGCAGAATGAAAGACTTGAGCATTTATTTTTTCTGCATGGAAAGACAATCTACAGGCCTCACTTCAAAACTGATGATATATTTAAAACATAAAGCTATAAAGTCCTGTTAAAACTGAAATTACGAAGCAACTTTTATAACAGTGTCTTAGTCCAGCTGAGTTACACACGTATATGCTCATTTTTGGAGGATACCTGAACTTAAACACCTTCCACCAGGAATTCTCAGATCTTGGTTTACTGAGTTGGCACAAATCTGTTTCTGATCCCTTTACTACATGCAACTTTCATGTGACTTCAGTGACAATTGCCTTGAAACCCACTAGCTGGCAAAAAAAGTTGGAATCACTACCTCTTATTTTATGCAGAAGGGGATGAGTTAATAATATGTAAGAAAAAAAAAAACCTCTGTCATTATGTTTGAAAAGAACTCTACCATACTGTATTTAGGTGAGAGAGAGATACTTGGCCCATTCCCTGCTACGAACTTAGATTTATGCCAGAAGAGTTTTATTCTATTTATAGTATTTATAACAATGACTCAGTAGATGATTTTAAGGACTATGATGCCACAAACTGGAAACACTCCTATATCTGTGCTGACATATTTCTCCAAAATTAACGAGTATGGTATTACATGGCACAGACTGAGGCTATGAGGAGACACTACAGATCGTAATATGAACTCAAAGCATGGGCAGCTCCTCAAGTTCCCCACGTCTGTCCTCTGTCAACTCTTCCTTGCCCACATACTTGTACTTTGGTTTGAAAAAGGCAACATTGATATAGTAATGCCACAAATGAAGTCTCATGTTGTTTTAGCCCCAAATTCCAGAAGCAACAAGTTTTAAAATCATCGGAATGGTGGGTACATCATCAGCTCAAAGGATTTTTCGTTTCCCCCTTAACCTAGGAAAAAACTTGACCATCTTTCTTTAATGCTGGAAGCTTGACAGTAAGGATTAAAAATTGTTCTTTCCTCCCCACTTAGTTATTGGAAAGGCTGTGAAAGGCAATCAGTCTTGTGAAGCCACACTTCATAGTCTGCATAAAAATGCCATGATTCTCAGTCTTCTCCCCAAACTAATTGAAAGTGTGTAATATCACACAGCTGGGAAAATTTAAACCATAAACCATACAGTATATCACGCTATCACACAAAACCCGTTACTAATAGGCACTTGATGATCTACAGGATCGAAAGGGATCTGAAAACTGATATTATTTTTGCTGCAGGGTAAGAACTTTTCCCGATTGAAAGAGGAAAAAACACTCTTTCAGCAGTGCAGGAATTGGACTGCAGTCAGTTCATTCATTCTGTTTGTGAAATATGGACTTTTCTTTAATGATTTCTGTTTGAATGCTGTCCTGCTCAGATGCTCTGGGGTTACTGCTGCAGCAAATCTTGCTTTTGGGTAAGAGGAAATTCATGGCTTTCTAGTCAGTAAATTCAGAACAGTCCCATATCTGACTCCCTGCCTAGGCCCAGGCTCCCTGCCCACCAAGTTATCATTTTCTGTAATGCCAGGTGGCAATATTACCTGTCTCCAGAAGTCTGTGGGTAGTGCTGCTTGTTTATTTTTGCATACAGCCCTTCCAAGTGCTCCCTCTCCATTGGTGCTGAGGAAGAATCCCGCAGATAAACAAAGGTTTCTCCTACTGCTGGTGATGAGGGTCTGTAGATGCTTGCTGGTGGATAAGCCTCTCGGAAGTGGTTCACTCTGGCATAGTTTGGATCCACCTCATCATCATCAATGTCAGGTCCTCCAGGACCAGTAGAATAATCACTCAGGCCCCTCAGCTGCTTTTGCCGTAACTCCAGATGCTTTGCACCAATCCTAACAATAAAAAAAAAACCAACAAATATACAGTGGGATCTGCTTCAATGGTAACCATCACACAAATTTGAAACACCAACCCTGAACCAAACCATTTAGAGCTTTCAGTACACTGTGAAAGTGGTGCCAGATAAAACAGAGTGGTGCATGCAGCAGTTTTTTTCTTTATCTCTGGCAATCACCTGTGTAATCAATCTTGGTTGCCATTCTGATGAAAAAAAAGAAATGCTGACTATAGTGTGGCTTTTCACAAGTGTGGATGAATGAACACATACAGGTTTAATTCTATACCTACCTTCCACATTGCAGTTGCATATACCTAACCCAATCCCAAACCTTTTAATCTAAATTAGCCAGTAAAATTGTTACCGATCCTTGGTTACTCGACCCACCTAGACTCTCCTAAATACATTAACTCGTGAAAAGTGGATTAATTGTGAATGTAAATGGAGAGATGGCACATTTGTCTCAAATCAAAGGACCACAATTAATTTGCTGAAGATTTAATTTTTTTAAAAAAATATTTTGGCTACATAACTGTGAAAAACACGGCTTATTATATAGGGGATAGGGATAAAGTAAAACAGCAAAGAAATTAATAGAAATTTGACAGAATTGAATTGGTACATATAAGTGAATTAATGACTGTTACTGGCAGTATTCCACTGTGATAAAGCCTTAAGTGGTATTACAAAATGCTGCTGCTAATCAGGGCCATTGTGTAACCTCTCTGGAATAGTAAAACATATTCAGGTAAATGTCAAGCTAAGATGATATTCAATGATTCAACATTCCTGCTGGAGAAAAAAAATGTATAGCAAGACTGTGAGCTCTTCCGTTAACTGCTCAGCTACTCTTCAACAGAGTGTAATTAAGTGCAGTGAGATGGATCTGGCAGAATGCTGACCATGGTAGATCTGGCAGAATGCTGACCATGGTATGTAATAAATATCATTTACAGAAAATAGAGGAGCATGGAATAAGAAACAAGGAACAGAAGAAAGATACAGAGATGCAATGTCTGACAGAAGTCAACAATTGCTTTTGACTGTAACTGGAAGCACAACAGCAATGTAGAAAAACAGTACCACAGGAGTGAAAGTGAAAAGGGTCTGGCAGACTTAGTTATTCCAAATGGTCTCAGGACTCTGTATATTGAAAAATTAAGGTGTTCTGGAGAAAGTCTTTAAAAGGCATGGAGAAAAAGGTTCCCTAGAAAAACAGATGAGCACACTGGCAGCTTCCCTGTGATTGACAGGAACTACTAAGTGCAGAATGGGATTCATACTACTTAGTTTTTTGCTTTGCTTACTAGATTTGTATCATCAAAACAAATGCTAATAATTTGTAGATAAAAAGGTTCACAAATAATTCTAATGAGAACAACATGCATTTCTACATATATACTAGATATGTAGCACTCATGCCATCCAGTTCCACATCTCCATTAACTGTGCTAGGACATATCTAGAGGTGATGCTGGTTTTCAACACTTAAAATGTAATCACACCTTACAGCAGGATGTGTGATACAGTTGTCAAGGGGATGGGTGCCCGCTATGCACTCTGCCTTCCCACATTGAAGCAGATGAACTTTCTCCTCTGTGGTACTCAAATCCTGTGTGCCCCACTTTGGGGACCACATGCTTTGATTGAGCTTTGGGCGCCTCAGCATGAAAAGGACATCAAAGTGTTGGAGTGTGTTGAGAGGAGGGAAACCAAGATGATGAAAGGCCTTGAGGGCGAGACTTAGGAGGGCAGCTGAGGTCACTTGGTTTGTTTAACCCGGGAAACTGTGGAGTGCTTCACCCTCAATTAGTGACCAGAAACCCCCAAACACAGAATTCAGTGCAGGAATACATCAAGTGAGACACGAATCCTATGGCACAAGCGGGCACATGTACACACAGTACACAGGCAGAAAAATGGGAGGATACTACATTTCAAGGAATAGTCATATCACATGTCAGTGCAGAAGGCATGGCACAGACCCGGGATGAGTCACAGCAATTTCTCAGAAAATGATGAGCCTTCATGTTCTCTGGACCAGTAGATCACTGGTCCCCCAGGTATTTGAGACCGCTTTGAAAGCAAGAGTAGTGCAGCCAGCAGCACCACGCTAATCTTGCTTTCATGTCTGACAGAACGAGTAATTTGTCCTGCTATCAATACTGGTATATTCTGTACAACAAAAGCTGGAATTAGGTCACCACAATTTTCTTTTGTTCCTGTGAATAAGCCTAGCTTCTTCAGCTTCTCCTTCTGAGCGCAATCTTCAATTGCTGCCAGTATTATAAGTCAAATCCTCTCAAAAACAATTATTTGCATTCTATATTATATGGACCAGTCAATACCCAGCTATGTGAAATTCTTTATGATCAATGTTTCATCCTTTCAATGCATCTATTACAACTGCATTAATATTTCTTGTTTTCTTTTTACTCTTCTACATGAATCTATAAAATTTGCTTAGTGATCTCTTTTTCATTTCAATCCAAATGTTCAAATATAGGGAAACAGACTATCAGATGGCTGTTTTTTCTTTCTGTTTACCTGTCTTTTTATATCTTCTCACACATTTTTCACCTTTGAAATTTCTCACAATTTTGTGAAGTTTTAAATTTCTACACTGCATCTCGGCATCATGTTTTCACATAGTTTTAAAACAATCTTATCCATAGCACACACCAGTAGGTACCCAGGATTTTTTTACTGAAGAAAAAAAAAAGAAAAAAAAGCAAAAAATAAAGAAAAAAACCCAAACAAACACAAACTGCTGTTCCTTCCATAATGCTGCTCCTTCTTTAATGCTCTGCCAACTCTACTAAGCAGGCTACTTCTCTGTCTCCCACTCATTCACCATTTCTGCACTTACCTTTGAAATTCTCCCTGTTTGAAACAGCAAAATCTTTATTCCCCATCCCAAAACCTCCCCCAAACCAACCAACCAACCTAAAAAACCAGAAGACTTTTAAATTAATACAACTGTAACTTCAAACAGCTCACTGAACAATTACTACAAGGCAGCCCCCACTTGCAGCACTGGATGGGTCTGGTTAAACAACTGGTGCAAATTTGTGAAGAAAGATAAAATGTCCCTCAGCATTACAATGCTGGCAGTGAAACCAGAGCTGAGGTGAGGTACAGATCACCAGCTCAACAATTTAGTGAGGCACTACACTTCCTACAAACTTCTTAATGAGGGAAAGGGGGAAAAAAAACCTCGCACAGAATAAAGGGAAATTACACGTATTTCCTTTTAAGGGTCTCATATTAACCTGCTTGTTCTCTTCCACCTCCTGAACACTGCTCTCCAGTTAAACCACTGCACAACTGCATCAACTCCCCTTAGCTGTGTTTCTGTAAAAACAGAGCCTTGCCACACAAGCAGCCAGGACATCAGGAAATGTCCTTTCTTTTTTTTCTTGCGACCCACCTTTTTCATAATAGCATATAAACATGTATCCTGCTCTAGACTTTCTCTACAACAAATACGTTGGACTTGATGATCTCAAAGGCTTTTGCCAACCTAGTTTATTCTGTGATTCTGTGAAATAATTTCAGAAAACATATAGTTTGATAAAAATATATATAACCTTAATATAACTCCAGGAAATTTTCTGAAAACATGTTGCATTTGTAGAAGTCAAATGAAGACAGAATCCATATACATATTGTGCTTCTGGAAGTGGGACACAGTATTTTGAAAACACTTCTGTACACCTCATGTACTGTCCAGTGGCACACCCCCAGAGCTACAAATCAAGAACTATTCTCATTTATCCTTCAAATAATCTTCCCATCTGACATATCTGCACAAATCATGCACGGTCAGTTCTCATCTAGTAACACATGAAAAGATGCACACACGTAGAGTGCAGCATCCATGAAAGGGTTAACAGCCCAAACAGCTCCTTCCAGCTGCAGCTCAGACACACGATTGAGTTACTGTGGTTTAACAAGTTATTGTGTTTCTGTGAGCTACTGTCAATGACCACATATGTATTCACCGCCTGTGACAAACACAATGTAAAACGCTTTAGCCTGACATCAGTGACAGAGACACTGACAGGCGAACGCTGGATTAAAAGACTGCAGAATACACAGAGTGAAGCAGCTGCAGGAAGAGATGTGAACTACCTCAAGAAAACTACAGAAGAGCTGAGCAGAAGTGACTTTTGGAGAAGACCCAGAAATGCTTTTGGGAATGGAATGTGAGGGCTAGGAAAAGCCGTAAGAGATACTTCTCAAATCTTGGCCTAGCAGGTGGAAACTGGGTGGGTGGGTTGTGAGTGGGTAACAAGAAAATGCTGAAGCTTCTAAGACCCTGTGAAAATTAAAATACAGGACTTAATGCTGCAGCCCAAAGAATGCCAGGGTCATTAAAAGCTGTGGAGTCCAAAGATGGGGACTTCAATGGGGAACGAACAGCAAGACATCAGCTGCAGCCCAGCCTGCACTTCTGAGGGCCCAGCAGCAGCCCCAGCTCAAAATGAGCTTTGTACACTGAGGCACAGGCGAACCAGGGTCACTGGATCAGCATGAGACTTGGACACTCATGTCCTCCAGGCTGGAGACAGGGTGCCTGCTGCCCAACAGGAGACACGAGAAGCAACTCAGTGGCACTGACAGACACTACATCTGACCAGAGTGAAACACCTGCACGGGGCAAGCTTGGCCCAGGAGAGACCATGGGCTCTCTTACTCGGAGACCTGCAAGGCTGCATTTCACATCACAACAGCTGAGTGTAGGGACAACCAACCAAAACAAGCCCACAACAAAAAGCATCACATCTTCGGAGGTGTTTGAACTCTTCCCTTGCACTCCCTGTGAGCTCTGAGAAAATCCTGTTTCTTTCTGACTTTCCAGAGAATGTAAAGGCAATGTAACTTTTTTTTTTTTTTTTTTACCTTGAACTGACCACATACTTAGTACTGAGCAGAGCACAAAGAATGACATGTTTTGAACCTCAAGGTGCATATCTAAGTAGTTAAATACAG